TTTCATGCCCGTTCATTATGCGTTTTTACCGTACAATGCTAGAGCGCTGCAACAGGCAGCGAAAACGTATGCTGCGATGACCTGTGTGTATGTGTCTGTGCGCTTGTTTATATGTGTGTGTCCGTCTGCCCGCGTATTTTTACGCAGCAACCACTCAAGCTTTAATGCTGGAATTTTGCTAGTGTGTTCCTCGGCCAAATACGACCCCAGGATCGTAGTATCAACTGTCACGCGCATCTACGTCTCACGTTTGGACAAGTGAAAGCTTTGGCGGAAAAACTGTTAACTCGAGAACAAGAAAAGCCAATAAGCTGAAACTTTAGGGGAACGTTTCCTGCTCACGTACGACTGAAAGATTTCGAATAAGCACTGCTTTTGCTTCAGCGGAAGCGGATATTACTAGTATTATGCTTATAATGCAAATTTGCATAATGCTAGTGATATCCCCTTCCGCTGAAGCAAAAGCAGTGATTACAATAAGCTACTGATGTTCCTCGAAGAGTCTTTTTCACGTACCAGGAACTTTCTGCTTGTTGGTCACTGATGCCTACATCGACAACTAACACACCATATAGCTAAACAATTAGTTTTCTGAACTTCGAGGACCAGTATGTCACAAACTGTAGATTCCAAGCGATCTTACTACAGCGAAAAATAACACAAAAGCGCATGACTGCACCGACTCGCCTGGCGCGCATTTGCCAATGGCTTCATTTAGTGAATAATTATTAGAAACTTACGATCATTTCCTTGCACGTTTCATCGCTTTCCATGTCACAGAACGATATCTGGCACTGGAAAACGACATTACCGTCACCGGGAAATTTGAAAACACTCATTTCTTTGAAGATATATGCATCACCCTTCCTCGGCTGCTCGAAGAATTTCGAATAATCTGGCGTTTCAAGGAAGTGTGGGTCAATTTCACATCTAAAACAAAAGATAAGTTTGAGAGAGTCGATGAGAAATTAATAGTAGCAAACAGGTTGAGCGCCACGGAGGGAGTGGAGGGAAAACGAAAAAGCAGTGACGCGGATGTGTTCCTGCTATAAGCCATAGCAAGCTTACATATGAAAAAACACAATATTTTGTAGTTGACAGAATGCTGAATTATGATTTGTTGCGTTCCGGATTTATAAAACTAGCCTGCGTTTGAACTAATTTCAGGCCGTTCATTGTGCTTTAGGCTACCAGTTCTAAACCTCAAGAATTTCATGTTTTAGCGTCCCCGTTTGGCACTTATAATTGATTTCAAATCTGAGCTGAAGGCCAGAATAGAGTAGTTTGAAATGGAAATATTTGAAAAAGTGATTCACTGAAAATTTCAGTCGAAATTTTTTTGTTTCCCATTCTTTAATTCGAATCTAAGGATATGAAAGAGGTATAAACTGATCTTCGATAAGTGGTCTCACGTACAGTTACAGGCTACGTTCCACAAATTTCAGCTTTGAGCTCTCATAGTCTAAGAGTAAAATAACTTGAACGCGCACAAGCACGCAAACATATGATCCTGCTACAGTGCATAAAAGATTTTGAAACCAAGGGTGTTCACAGTCCATGAGAAAAAGCTTACCCATCGTAATCCAAAATCTGCACATTCTTTGTTTCGGATTTCACGTAGCAGTCGTGTATCAAAAAATAGTAATTCGATGCTGAAACACAGAACGCTAATTTCAACAGCTTGTGCACTATGCTCTTCACAACGCTTTTGATAAGAAAAGCCCATTGTGAATGCAAATTTTGCTCAAATAACAAGCGACGGCATTTCCAAGTGAGTACAAGCTCATTTTAAAACCCGGGCTGGAACGCACCAGGCGAGCCGGTGCGATCATGCGTTTTTGCACCAAGTTTGAAGTAATTAGGTTAACTGCAAGTTTATTTGTTGCTTCACACCTGCCTTATGCTCTCAATACCGTAAATCATCGTAAATTTTGCATAAATGAAAAGAAACGATTTCCGTTTAGCGGCCGTTTTTATGCGTTTTTGCATATATGTAAATTGCAAAAACGCATATTGGGAAGAGGCTGT